AATAAGCAAAACCCTAAAGGGAGAAGGATAACAAATGGGAAGAGGGGATCAGGGATGAGGGGAAGAGAGCCATTGAGGATTAGACCAGATTAAAAAAAGACTAAAGCAAAGTAACTGAAGGAACATAATATTGTATTTATAGCAGAAGAAGGGAAAAATCATAACTTGAAAAAACCCTTGATTGTAGAGATAAATGGAGGAAAATATAAATCTAATTCTTATAATATTAGATGTGAATGGACTAAACAATCCAATAAAATAAAAAAAGTGAGATTGGATTGTTAGGGATCTGTAAGGATATAGAGGGCCACAGGCTGTTCATGAGGTCTCACTGATGGGCGGAGGCCCCTCTCGGGTGACTGACCTATGGGTAAGTTTCCTGGTTTGGTGCTCTGTCCTATGCATCTCTGACTTCCCTAGTTACTCATTAGTCATTAACAGTGTATTTGTGATTGGTAGTAGGTAAGTGTACGGACTGTGCATGCACTGTCCTTGAGCACAGCATGGGTTATACATCATTGTAACTTGAGAAAGAGTTCCTGTTATTTTACTGTATAAGTAAGTGCTTTGCTAAAAATAAACGGAGTTGCTGCCATCTTTTCTCCTGCCTCATCAATGCGTGCTCAGAGTGAAAGATAAGCTTCTTCAGGTGATTGGGAAATCCTAGGTCCTAGGTAGGCTCTGTAGCCGAGTGAACTAGTTGTGCACAACATTGGATAAGAAAACAAAACTCTACAATCTGTTGCTTACAAAAAACACATATTAAAAATAAAGACAATGTGCCAAATAAAACTGAGGGGGTAGAAAAAAAATTGCTACCCATCAAGTGAATCCAAAAAAGCAGGAGTTGCAATCATGCTATCAGACAAAGCAGAAACAAACATCCAAAAAAATAAAATAAAAAGGGATAAACAAGGAAACTATATTACACTGAATGGAACCACATGTAACAAACCATCAACAGTAATAAATTTATATGTTCCAAATGTCATAGACATAATTTCTAATACTATCATTCCTAGAGATTTTAACATCTCTCTATCAGTTTTGGATAAATCTAACAGAAAGAAAAACAAAAGGGAAAACATGGAACTAAACAAATTTCTGGAGAAACTAGAGTTAAAAGACTTGTGTCTTCTAAGTGAGACAGCAAAAGGATGTACATATTTCTCTGTACCACATGGAACTTTTACAAAAATTGACTATGTGCTAGGACACAGAGACATCGCAAACAAATATAAAAAGGCAGAAATAATCAAATACATCCTCTACAGACCATAGCGCCCAAGGAATTAATTCTTGAACCTCTATTTTATACTTGATTTTACCCTGTGATTTTATTCTGTAACCATATTCTGTGTTCAATATAACAATCCTAAGCCTCTTCTCTGTCTCTTAGAGAAAAAGCTTATGTATGCTAAAGTTCAGCCTCCCTCTCTCTGAAGTTAGATACCAGAGTTAAGCTTTCCCACAATGACTGCCAGTTAAAGAAAAACTCTGTTCTCAATACTCTCATAAAACATCATCTCAGCATAAAGGTTTGTGGGCTATCCTTGAGAAGCTGGAACTACCTTACCTTGTCCCTTCTTTAACAATTAATGTGGTCTTATTTAATTCCTCAGTTTCCGGTAAGTCTGACCCTATCAATGACCTCGGCATGCAGGTAGAACCCATCAAATTCACAAAAGCATATCTTAGAGATAGACAGAGGTCTTTGTTATCCCACTTGGGGACTGTGCCTACTCTCTTTGATGTAAACCAATCATAATCTCTCACCCATGTAATGCTGGCCAATTAAACAATTTTTGTCCTGTTCTTTGTTCTATATTTAGAAGAATGTATTATGCCCTCAATGACCCATTCTTTATTATCAAGTCATATGTCCTGTTAATAAATGATATCTTGCGTGGAGAATTGCCTCAGTTTATCCTTTTGTTAAATGTCACTTGCAACAATGCAATAAAAATAGAAATTGGTACAGGGACCTCAAACAAAATATATAGACCCAAATGGAGACTTAACAACGAAATCTTAAATAATGAGTGGGCCAAAGAATAAATCACAGAAACAGTTAATAAGTAAAAGAAAATTATGATGATGAAACAACATATCAAAATTTCTGGGATGCAGTTAAAGCAGTCTTCAGGGAGAAAATCGTATCCTTAAAACAATACATTAACAAAATAGAAAAAAAGAAGATTGATGAACTGAAATACACATTTTAAAAAATTAGAGCAACAAATAAACCTAAAATAAATACAAACGTGAAGACATTGAATTAGAGGGGAAATAGATAAATCGGAAACAAAAAACCCATAGAAATGATACATAACACTAAAAGCTGACTTTCTGAAAAGACTGAAAAAAGATGATGTACTTGGAAAACCCCAAGGATAATCAACAGCTTCAGCAAAGTTGTAAGCTACAAAATAAATTCCCCCAAATCAACAGAATTTCTAGATAATAATAACAAAACACAAGAAACAATAACAGAAAAGAAAATCTCATTCCAAATAACTACAAAATGCATAAAATATCTGGCAATCAACCTCCCAGACCATACAAAAGACTTCCATAGATTCAATTACAAAACATTCCTTAAATAATATTCTATATAGCTGGAGGAATATTCAGTGCTCGTGGCTAGGCTATGACAATATAATAAAAATAACAATACTACAAAAACTAACTTTCACTTTTAATGCTATGCCAATCAAATTACCAAGAGGATATTTTACAGAGCTTGATAAAATTATAAAAAAATTCATTTGGAAAACAAAAAAACCCCAATAATATCAAGGGAAATTATGAAAAGGGGGAAGAGCACTTCCAGACCTCAAACTATATTGTAAAGCAGCAGTCATTAAAACCATCTGGTGTTGGTTAAAAAATAGACAGTTCAATGGAACAGAATAGACAAGGGAGATTAAGAAGCAAGAGACCTCAAAAATGCACTGTTTGATGAGGTAGAAAACCTAAGTTACTTAGGGAAAAACTCCTTAATTTAATTTAAAAAAATGACTGGCAAAAACAGAAAGCAGTCTGGCAGAAATTAGATAGACCAACACTTTACACCACACTCCACAATACATTCTAAATGGATACATGACCTTAATATTAAAGATCATACATTAAATAGTTAGAGGAGATACAGATCGTGTACCTCCCACAGCTATGGGTAAGAGGCGTATTCTTAACCAAACAAGAGATAGGGACAATTACAAAAGATAAAATTGATAACTTTGATTACTTGAAACTGAAAAGTTTCTGCACAGACAATATTAAAGGATAAGAAGGGAAGTGGTTAATAGGGGGAAAATCTTTGTATCAGATTTCTCTGATAAGGGTTTGGTATCCAAGAAAAGTAGCCATTCCCCCAAAAAATAAATGGTCAAACGATATGAGCAAACAGTTCTCAAAAGAACTGCAGAGTGTTCACAACCACATGAAAAATTGCTCCAAATAATTAATAATAAGGGGAATGCAAGTCAAATCCAACTCTAAACTTTTCCCTCCTTATGTAAAAGAAGGAAAAGGAGGGGGAGGGGTACATGGGATGTGTGGTGATGTGAGCTCCTTGTCAGCAGGGACTATATTCTCTGCCCTTCTTTGTATCCTCAGCCCTTAGCACATTAACTGGCACATAGTAAGTGCTTACTTGTCTCCTGAGGAGCCTGTGCATGGGCCTAGAAGCAGTAGAACTGAATGTGGAACAACTGATTGGTTTGAGATCAGAAAAGAACTATGACAAGGCTATATATTGTCACTTTATTGTCATTTATTTAATTTATATGCAAAGTACGTCATGCAGAATGCTGGGCTGGATGAATCAAAAGCCGGAATTAAGGGTGGCAGGAGAAATGTCAACAATCTCAGATATGCAGATGATACCACTCTGAAGGCAAAAAGTGAAGAGGGATTAAGAAGCCTTGAATAGGGTGAAAGAGGAGTGTGTAAAAGCTAGCTTGAAGCTTAACATTAAAAACAAGAACAACTAAGATCTTGGCAACTGGTCCCATCACTTCCTGGCAAAAAGAAGAAGTGTAGGCAGTGTCAGATTTTATATTCTTGGGCTCAAAGATCACTGCAGCAGACACTTGCTCCTTGGAAGGAAAGCTATGGCAAATCTGGAAAGCATACTAGAAAGCAGAGATATCACCTTGCTGACAAAGGTCAGTAGAGTTAAAGCTATGGTTTTCCTAGTAGCAATGTATGGCTAGAGAGTTGGACTATAAGGAAAGCTGAGCTCAGCAATTCATTTGTGGCTTGGGAGGGCTTTAGAGAGTCCCCTAGATAGATAGCAAGGAGATCAGATCAGTTAATATTTAAATTACTTCAGACTAGTCATTGGAAGATCAAATAGTGAAGCTGAAGCTTAAATACTTTAGCTACATAATGAGGACTCATTGGAAAACACCCTTCTGTTGAGAAAGACTGAAGGCAAAAGGAAAAGGGGACAGCAGAGGATGAAATGGGTAGATGGAGTTATGGAAACAATGAACGTGAGCTTGGACAGACTTCAGGAGATAGTGAAGGATAGAAGGACCTGCAATGGCGTGCAATGGCTCATGGGGTCATGAAGAGTACCACACGACTAGATACAGAGATATGAGTCATCTTCAAGGAGATGCTCATTAAACCCAGAAAGAGGTACATCCAACCCCTTCATTTTATAGATGAGGCCGCTGAGGTCCAGCCAAGTTAAGTGACTTTGCCACTGTAACGCAGGTAGGAATTGTGGCCAGGTCCATGATTCGACCCCAAGACCTGACGCCCCAACCCGGTAAACTTGTCCCTGTACTATCCTGGGCCTCTGAGGCAGGGCTAGAGCCAGGACGGCCAAGACAAGTTTGGTACATTTCATTGAAAGGTTGGTCTCTCTGGATTGGCTCTCCCCTGTTTGACCATGCCCACACCACAAAAGCCCCACCCACTTTCCCTTTGGCTCGCGTCCCTCCCACTGCTTATCTTGCTTTTCTCCCCCGCGCCCTGCTTTTCCTCTGGAACATGCGCACTCCAATGCTGCGCAGGCCCCTCCTCCAAGGGGGGCGGGATGGATAGACGTCATTAAGGAGCGCGGGGAAGAGGCGCTGTGGTAAGCTAGTCGCCAGCCGGCTACTGCCGGGGGTTTCCGAGGGAGAGTCGGGGGTCGCCGAGGTGTCTGTGACCGTGACAGTTAGAGACCCAAGGGCAGCCTTCGTGCTCGGGCTCCCGGGCGCAGAGGGCGGCGCTGGGGTCCGGGTCGTGATTGTGTCCGGCGCCGTTGGCTCGTCCTGCGTTATGCGTTGGGGGTCGGAGGTGCGGCTGCCTGAGCCGGCCTGGCCCCCCCGGCCCGGCCCGCGTCCTCCCGAGCCCCCGGACTGACTCCTGGCCGAGCCAGCCCCGGGAACCCGAAGGGTCCGGAGCGGGCAGAGACCTCGGAGCTAGTCTAGTCCAGCTTCTCTCATTGTGCAGCGGAGGAAACTGAGGCTCAGAGGGGCCTGGGGCCGCGCTGGCCTGGAACCCGAGCCCTGAGCCCCCAAGACCCCTTCATTTCCCTGGCTCCTTGATCTTCCTTAAGTTTTGTTTTGTTTTGTTTTCCCCACCGTAGAATTCGAACCCTGGAATTTCTTTGACATTCGTCCAGCCCCAGCTGGGCTGTATGTAGAGAGCAGTAGAGACAGAAGAAGCGACGAGGGGTATTCATAGAGACAGATGACCCAAGTTAGTCAGTGCTTTGTAGAAGATTGATCCGAGGAGTTCTCTTAACTTTGATGAAGCTGTGGAGAGATGGAGCCTTTGTTTGGGTTTTTGCTTTCTTCTTTAGAGAGGGTGCCACACATAGTGTGAATGCCCCGTTGTGAGTGATTGGGGATGAATTGTTGGACGCCTAAATGTGGGCCACGCTTCCCTTTTTTTAGTGGGGTGGTATCTTTAAGGAGAATCTGAAAGAGTAGCAAATAAATGTTCTCTTCCCTGTAAACCTACAGTTTAGGGAATTCCCCTTGCATTCCAAATATATACAGAATAATTTCAAGAGGGAAAGAGCACTAACCATAGCCTGGATGGATACCTGAGAGAGGCAGAATTAAGGAGGGAGTGCATTCCAGACATGAGGGGACCACCTGTCCAAAAGTTGGAGTTTGTATATGGAGAAACAGCCAGCAGGAAAGTTTTATTATGCGAAGTAGTATGAAATAATTCCAGAAAGCTAGGTGGTGGGGGCAAGATTTTGGAAGGCTTTTTCAGTGCCAGGCTGAGGATTTTGTATTATATGGTTTTCTGTAGGATAGAGTCTGTCCCATAGTAGGTGCTTAATAAGTGCTTATTTATTGATTGACATGGTCAGATCTGTATTTTAGGAGTATCAGTTTTACATCTTTGTGGAGAGTAGGTTAGAGAGGGGGACAACTGGAAATAGGAATGCCAAGGAATCTTCTTGGAATAGTTCACAGAGATGATGTCCAAGTGAACTAGGGAAGAGGTTGTAACATGAATAGATAGAAGGGATAGATGTGAGAGATGTGGAGGTAGAATAAACAAGATCTAGCCATTGATTAGATGTGGAAGAGAGAGAAGAGTTTCTTACCAGAGCTGTGAATCTGGATGATTGGAACGAAGGTAGTGAGCGCCCATGATAGATATAAAGCAGTGGTGAAGAGATAGGGGTTTTTGTTTTGTTTTTTGAGAAATGCAGTTTGGGGACATGTTGAGTTGAAATGCTTTTAGGACATTCATGTAGGTGTGTTCTGTGTGTATACATGCACGCTAGGTAGCATTTATATAGTGCCAACTATGTGCTGGGCACTTATAAAATATTTTATTTGGTACCAATGTTATTTCATTCGATCCTTACAACAACTCTGGGAGATAGTTATCCACATTTTGTACTTGTTGAGGAAACTGAGGCAAACAAGTCAAGTGACTTGCCCAGTGGTCACACAGCTAGTAAATGTCTGAGGTGGGGTTTGTATTCAGGTCTTCTTGACTTCAGGCCCAGCACTCCATTCACTGTGCCTCCAGCTGCCTCTTATCAGGATTTGGATAATTGAAGCTATGGGAGCTGATGAGATATGTCACTAAGAGACTAGAGAAAAGGCCGATACAGGACAGAGTCTCTGAGGACCCCCATAATTAGTGGGTAGGAATAGTAGGATGATCCAGCAAAGGAGCCTGAGAAGGAATGAACAGGAAGGAGAGCCAAGAGTGCTGTGTAATGGAAGCTGAAGGGGCTTCCAGGAGGAGGGGGTGGTTGGCTGTCAAAAGCCACAGACCAAGTAGAATGAGGACTGAGAAAAGGCTACTGGATTTAACAGTTAATGAGATCATTCTTATCCTTGGAGAGAGAAGTTTCATTCCAGTGGTCAGATTATAGAGATTTAGAAAAAAGGGGAAGGGAGGAGATAGAGGTAATGAATATAGATAATAATTTCTAGGAATTTGGTTGTGAAAGAAAGAAGGGAAAAAGAAAAGAGAGAGGAAAGGGAAGGAAGGAGAGAGAAAGGGGAAGGGGACAGCTTGAGGGAATGTGAGTTAAGTGTCTATTGTTTAAGTAGGAGGGGAACAGGCATATTTTAGGCATATGGAAAGAACAGTTATATAAGGAGAGATTTAAGATGAAAGAAGGCTGAAATGATATAAAGGGCAAGTCCTAGGAGAGACTGCTTGGAATGCGGTCAGGAGTATAGCCTACAAGTAGAGGGCTGGCATTGGCAAAGCAAGAACTTACCTCTTCATCAGAAACTGGAAAAGGAGGGAGGGGAAGAATTGGGGATAATGAAAAAGCGTTTCGCTGAATAGAGTAGGGGAGGAGAAAGGAGTCTGATGGATGGCTTCTTTTTAAATCAAAGCAGAAGACAAGGTCCTCTTCTAATTTTAAATTCTATTTTTGTGGTTTTATTTTTTTCTCAAATGAGGATCCTTCTCTCCCTCCTACTTCACATCTTCCTATTTGAGAAAGCAAGAAAAACAAAATCCCTCTTACAAAGATGTATAGATAAGCAAAACAGTGCACTATGAGTTCATCACCTCCACAGCTGTTTGTCTTATAATATTGTTATGATTGTATAAATTCTCCTGATTCTAATTATTCCACACTCATCAGTTCATACAAGTCTTCACAGGTTTCTCTGAAACCATTCCCTTCATCATTTCTTAAATAACTTGTTCAGCCATTCCCTAATTGATGGACACTTTCTTAGTTTTCAGTTCTTTGCCACCACAAACAGAGCTGTCGTAAATGTTTTAGTATACATGTGTCATTTTTCTCTCTTTGATCTTGTTGGTGTATAGGTTTAATAGTGGTATTGCTGGGTCAGAAGATACCTACAGTTGAATAGCTTTTTGGCCACGGTTCAAGTTACTTTCCAGAGTGACTGTACCAGATCACAACTCCACCAACAGTGCATTAATGTACCTATTTTCCCACAGCCTGTCTAACATTTGTCCTTTTTCTTTTTTGTCAACTTTGCCAATCTGAGAGATGTGTGAGGTGGAGGGAAGGAGGAAGGAAGGAAGAAATGGTGAAGTTGGTTTGAGGACAGGCTAAGATTTGGAGTCATCGCTAGAATCGGGGAAGAAGGAATGGATTGCTACACGGCAGTGCCAGCCAATTTTGATTAGTAGTTAAGTCAGCAGTTTTCAGCAGGCTGGTAATCCAGTCTCTGACTGAGCAAGACATGACTAGAGATATTACAAGGGGTTAAGAGATTCAAGGATAACTGATGGTATGTGGCCAGATTGGTCAAACTTGAGGTCAAAACTAAATAGGGGGCTGGGGTTAGTTATGGGTGATGTCCTGGGATAGCAAGGATGGTTGGAGATGTTGGAAGAGGTTGAGGAGTTTTTCAGAGGAGGAGAGGACTTTGAGTTCTGGATTTTGGAGGCAGAAGAGTTATGAATGATTTTCATAGCAAGCGTATGACCATTCCTTTCTGTGGCTGGGATGGAGTGAAAAGGAAAATCCATGGGAATTTACTAGGGAGATGAATTGGAAGAACAGTATGCCCAAGAAAAAAGTCCCCAAGTATGAGAAAATGCGTTAAAGGGGAGAGAAAAACTCTGAGCCAAGGAGGAGTTTGGATAAAGGAAGAATGACCTGGAAGCCAGTATGTGACTGTGGCAAGAATTTGGGCCAGGTGTTAAAGACTGATAGTGTGAACTTCAAAGGTGGGGTTACTGAGTGATGGTGGCAAAAGCGAAGTCTGGAAGTAAGAGGGATTAGCATGGAGGATCCTCCTTCTTCTAGCCCAGGGTATTAGGGGCCATGAAGGAAGTACTCGAGTGCTTACTTTGCTAGCATCCTATTAAACTGGAACAGTCCAGGGAAGATAGCATGGCTAAGGTGACCTGCGAGTTTGTGAAGCCTTCCCTACTTTTGTGCAGAACGAGACACATTTTCAATGTGTCAGTAGGTAATAAAAAGAAAAAAGCAAAGAGCATTAAAGAAACATTGTAAAAAAACACACAAGAGCAGAATGAAGTTCAGGATTGGACTGACAAACAGGGCAGTTTTGTCCCTACTCTGTTAAATTAAATATATACTTAAAAAAATCAAACTGTATATAACAAGTTCAGTTTTATATACAATCATCATCTGTTCCTTGTATGTTTAAATATCTGTGTTTGTTCACACTTAAAATAAAAAATAATTTTAAAACAACTGAAGGGACAGCTAGATGATGCAGTGGAGAGAACACTGACCCTGAAGTCAAGAGGACTTGAGTTCAAATGCGACCTCAGACCAAACACTTGACACTTACTAGCTGTGTGACCCTGGGCAAGTCACTTAACCCCAGTTGTCTAAAAAAAAAAAACCAAACACACACACACACACACACACACACACACACACAAAACTACTGAAGATGGTGGCCAGAGGGATGTTAGATCCTTTGGGAAGACACAGTTTTCCTTTAGCAAGAAGATAAAATATATGATGTGAGAGATCTAGGATAAAAAGGAAGTTTGTTAACAGTAGAGTAGGAGGTTCCAGCAGATTCAATGGAAGGTGAGGACAGAGAATTATGTAGACTGTAGGGATAGCAATGAGAGGAGGAAGCTTGAATGTTCTTTCCAGGCACTGACCCTGAATCTGATGTAGCATAGGAAAGGAAA